CCCCCCCCCACCCACCCGCCCCCCCCCCCCCTCCCCCCCCCCCCCCACCCCCCCACCCCCCCCCCCACCGCCCCCCCACCCCCGCCCCCCCACACCCCCCCCCCCCCCCGCGGGGCCCGCCCGCAGTAATTAATTTAGACTGTTGATACGAAAATGTTAACTGTAAAATTGAATACTCGACAATATTTAGTGATTGTGTGGTGTCAATAAGAAAAATAACATTCAAGCAGCGAAAGCAAGCAGTAGTCAACTTTGCACACTGAATCAAAAGTGTCATCTGTTCACTTGTTTAGTCAATAGACTAGCAAATGTTAAACAAAATAACTCACAATCATTTTTTACAGTGTATCTAAATTTGACACAAAAGAAATAACTGTAGTAGACAAAATATCCTTTTCTGAATATTTACTTCAATAATTTGTTTTGCGTGAAACAGTCCATCATTAGTGTAGATACCAGATATTAAAACAATCTATTAATAATAGGGAAAAAAAGTTCTTAATAAGTAGTGCAAGTTATGTTAAATTGAATTAGTTACCTGACCAGGAAAAAATGAATAACTATCCAATGACGATACATCTACTCGAACACGATTACATGTTGAACGATGATAGGAACCCTCTAATATTATTGAATGTTCATTCAGTTGTCCAACAGAATCACAACATATACGTCCAACTACAGATACTTCATCCTATGATGAAACAAAAAAGTAACTAACGAATCAAATTTAACTTTTAATGAAACTCATACTGATTCAGGATGTCCAACTGAATACAATACAAATGGTTTGTCTGGATCGATATTTAAGGTAGTCATATATAAATCTTCAAATTTTTCAATTTGTTTGTTTAGCACTATAAAAATGTATAATTGATGCTAAATATTATAAAAAGTACATTGAAAAAACAAGTTACCAGACGCTCGTTCAAGAACTGTTTGAAACATATAGAGGGAAGATGCATTTGATGATGGTAATTGAATATCTACAGAATTATCAGAATCGTTTATCATTTTTTTCTTAGAACATGAGCCAATATGTTCAGTGATGATTTCATTCTTATTTATTCGACTTTCAAATTGCAATGTTGTTGGAGTGCTAGTAAAATAGAGATTAATCATTTAAAATATACTCATAACTTGTTTTACTTCAATAATGTACATACTTAGGTATTGTCTGATTAACCACCATAGAAGTTGTTGGTACCTGAACAACAGGCGTTTTTGTTGCTCCTCCAAGACCAACTTCGGCAACACCTTTTGTCACTTGTCGAATTGGTGTTGATGGATAAGATTGATGCACTGGATTAGCTAATAAAGATGCCGATCGTCGAGCTGACTAAACATTAATCGGTAAAAAGAAATCATTAATTATGACTTGAAATAGCTATTAGATAAATATACGTACTCGAATATCAGACGATGAATAACTTTCTAGTAAACCTTCCAATGAGTCTAATGCAATACCAGATGGTCTTTCTGACTTACGTTGCAATGTTTTAACGTTACTTGGCTTCTCATTATCTATATCGTCAACATCAAAAGGAAAATCATCCATATTTTAATAATCTGAAATTGCAGCAGAAATATCATGAATATTGACAACAATACAAAATAGTGAGCAATTTTGAAAGTCTTATTTGATATTACAATCCTTTGAAACAATCATCTGCCACTATAAGAGAACGAGAAAAAAAAATGATGCTCATGAAAGAGTAGATATCTTTTGTCAGACTACAGTAATTTATAGTTTATATGCTTTACTTTTCACATTAGGAGAAATATCGTATTGTATAAAGGCAAATATATTTCTAAATGGGTTAAAGTTGTTGTAATCTTCAAATTTTATAGATAATTAAAACAGAAATAATTTATTCATCTTTTCATAACAATGCACTACTACAAAAAAAGAAATACTGTTCACCGAAGAAATCTTTGCATTATATGCTAGAATAATAAATAAAAATAGATATAAGAAGTACAAAAGAAAATTGATTCTCGTTAATAAAATTTATGAATAGTTCTGATTTCATTTGTGAAAATTGCCTTTTTTAATTTCACCAATAACATTTTCGGCCAATGAACACGTAAGTCCTGCACCATCAGGTTCTGGCAAAACTTTTTCCACCTTATTATCATTAATAACCATTGCATAACTAAAACACATAATAGTATGTGTAAATCAATCACATTTTTTATGAATCCTATTTTGAACTTAAAAATGGCTAGCAAAATAGTTCGAGAAGTATTTCTCAATTAGAAAAACAACAAAAATTATATTCTCATTCATACCGTGATGATCGAACATTGCCTAATTGTTCAGTCATATCTTTAGTTAATCCAAGTGCCTAAAAAAATAAGTTACAAAAGTTTATTATAACAGAATTTCTTTTTGTTTTATCCTTCTTACTTTTGTAAACTCGCCTTTGGGATCTGCTAATACTTTTACCTAAACAGAAAAAAAAAAAAGTAACGCTGCGAGCAGGATTCGAACCTGCGCGGGAAGATCCCATTTGATTTCGAGTCAAACGCCTTAACCACTCGGCCATCACAGCACATACATTCTTTTACTCTTATTATATATAAGACTCGCGATTTTGAGAATGGCTTTTTTTTTTTTTTTTTTGTTTTTTGTCAATAAAGTCGATTATATTTTTTTTGTAATATCTCGTTGAAAATTCTTTGCAAAAAGTTTCTAAAAATGTAATTAGAACGTCGCCTTGAAAATCTCTACATTCATTGATTTTTTCTGAATCACTGACACTTTCTTTTCATGTCTCTTTAGTGCTTGAAATAATTTAATTTTTCTTTACAAAAAAATCTTGTATAAGTAGGACTCAAACAGAGTTGCCAGATGGTCCGCATTTTCCGCTTTCTGTAGTTTTTACCACAAAGTCAAGGCTTTGTTGTTTTTATTCTTTTTCCTGCAATGAAGATTTTTACATTTTCTCATAAAAAGTTTCCCGCCTTCGGCGACTGCTTGATCTGTCAAAACAATGATTTTACAATTATTATAAACAGATGCGCACTGTTTTAGAAACTAAATCAGAAATTTGCTCTGGAAGTGAGCGGTAACAGAAAAACATTAGCTTGTCTCAAGTGCTGCTGAAAGGGAGTGTGAAAAATAGTGAAATACTAAATCTGCAAGGAAGCCAACTCGGTCAGAAAATTCCTGTCATACGTAACTCTTGAAATGTATGACGGCTGATCAAAAACTCGCATCCATAAAAAGTCAATATCGATTCAAATTGGGATTTAAATGATGTTTTGTACTTCTTTTGTGCTTAAGTGGAACCGCCATAAAACGCTAGAAAATTATTTTTTTATACCCGTTACGTTTGGTGACAAATGTGTTTCAGCTTTTATTCCGCATTTTGGAAACAAATTTCTGCTTTTTCGACTTTTTATTTCACTTTTCTGATCTAAGCATCTGGCAACTCTGGACTCGAATCTATGTGTTAGGATTCTACTTCATTTCAAGTTATTAATCACTCTGACATGACATCATGAAAAGTTCATCGAAACGACAGTGTGACAGAACTGTTCCAAGCGAGGGAAGATTTTTTAATTTGGAAATTTTCGTTTTTCCTCAGCTGAAAATTTCATCTTGTTGAAACTGCCCATATATTCTGTGATTCTCAGCGAAGCTAAGTTCTGCTAAAACTCGGGGTAACAGCGGTGTAGTGGCAATACATTATAGGGATAGATATAACTGTGCAATAAACTAACAGTTAGTGCATTCTACATGTTTTCCATGAAATCCCCTTCAATTCTAACTCTTATAGACAAATAATAATGCTGATACAAGCAGAAATCAATCTTTTTTGTATTTATGGACAAACGATTTTTGAATATGATTAATAATTTTTTTTCTTTAAGTAGAATATATTTTCCTTCAGAAATTATTTATTAACTAAACGGGTGGAAATCATTCTCTATTCAATCATTGATGAAATCTATAAACAGCAAGGATTCAATGATACTATTTTGGGAAATCACTGATGCTACCTTTGTAGATTTTGATAAAACAGCGTTCACAATAACAACTTGTTAACGATCTGACAAATAAGAAAACTATCCGAACAAGTTAGAATGGCATATTAACCTTAGCAAGTTTTTCAATCAAAATTCTATAATTAAAATAACACGATCGAATGCTTTTGAAAAGTCGCTCATTAATTGTTTTCAGAAATTTCTTCGAGTGTTTCATTATAAAGTGTTTTGAAAAAATTAACAAGTGCCGTGGTGGTTAATTTATCCTTTTCATTGCCAATAAATGTTTCCAATAGTGTACTTCGTTATCTAAACGTTCATTAAATTGAAATGATTCGTTTTTAGATAAAAATGTCAATGATCCTAGATTGTACATTGTCTTGTTTATCTTAGAATAACGATGTGACAGATCAAAATAATGAAATTTGAATTTCATTATTGTTTGAAAGAATACGATATGATTAACAAAATTACTAAATACTGACTGAAAAAGGTTTAAAAACGTCGACTTACTTTTCCTTCTGCTCGATGTTCTTTGGCCCATGCAGATGAAACATATGGATCATTCACTGTAACACAAACAAGTTGATCATAGCCAAGCTGTCTAAAGTCATTTGCTTGATTGATATAGCCAGGTAGATGTGTCTAAATAAATCAAGAAAAGTCTAGACAGTTTTGTCAAACTGATAGTATTTCACTTACTTTTGAACATCCAGGTGTAAATGCACCAGGAACGCCGAATAAAATACTTTTCTTGCCTTTAAATAAATCTTTTGTATTGATCTTTGTTTTTGCATCATGTTCAAATAATGTATGATTCGGTAATGTTGCCCCTTCCTAAATAAAAAGAGCTTTTGAACATGAAAAGAAATCATATTTTTCTGCTTCGAGAATTACCTTGATAACTCCACCAAATAAGAATAATGGTTTTGATGTATGGAATGATCTTATGAACATTTGCGCGGGATAAAATGCTTTTGACATTGTTGAAAGAGAAAAAACAGCCATAAATTAAATCTAAAATCGCAACCACCTTGTTGTAAACATTAGAGGAACTGAACCTTCTCACAACCAGACATGTATGCTGACACGTCGACCACTTATATTTTTTCATGGTCAGGGTTTCCGGTTGTTCTTGGGGATGGGAGGGGCTAAACGTTTTGCTTCGTAGAAAGTGGCTGGCCAAAAAAATTTCAAGTTTTGGCAGAAATTTGTTGGTGGACAAACGTCACACGATTTTGAAACGTCAAAGTGTAACAAAAACAGGAAAAAATTTTCAGAGTTGTAAACATTTTTAACTGGAGATGTGGAGTTGGGAACTGAAATAATCTCAACCCAACGTAACTTCACTAAAAAGGAGCTCAATTTCGGAGCTGGAGTTGCCTTCCTGTTTTCTTACATTTTCTAACACGAAGAAATCGTTAAGGTTGCGAGCTGTCAGATAACTAAAGTGTCTTGTTACACGAGACATGTGATATTTTTCTCTATAACCTAGCGATTTTTTGTCTATGTAGACCAATATTCTCAAGAAAACCTCCAGGACTAAATAGACGTTTAAGTTTTCACGTTTGTTCGCTCCGTGCGTTTTTCAGAACGTGTACATTTTGGTGGGAAAAAGCGAATGAACAGATACATCCAGCGAAAAAATCATGATCAACACTCATCCTTCATCAACGCACAATGATGCACACCTTTTTGTGGAAGTTAGTGATTCGGCGAACTATGGCCATGGACTCTTAAAAAGATGATGTCTGTTGGTGAACATGGTATTAAATAGTTTTTAGAAAGTCTTCGTGCCGATTTGTGAATTCACACTTCTCAAGATATCCCAACGTTTCCTAATCTGAGGTTGAAGTGCGAGCACCTTTTGACGTGTCGATAAATGATCACGACTACCACCAGTAATTTGATTATGGACACTCCCAATGCGCTTACAAATGGGCTTAGCTACCAACTTTCTGACTGATGCCGACTCCTATACTAACCGCACTGTATGAAGATGTTGGAATTTCCTCGCGCTCCACGTGCGTAACAAAAAACCGAAAAAGCCTGTTGTCCTCTAACAAATTCGTATTCGATTTGTCTAAATATTTCACCAATGAAAGAATTACGTAGCTTTTCAAGAGGTGTCGTATGAGTGTCTTAGTAAACTGATAGTCTAATGAAAGGTGCTTTTATGATACAAATTTGAGATGCTCTCTAGCATTTCGTATGTGCTGCAGAAGCGCTATAGTCACGATTTTATAACTAGTGAACTTATATAACCAATAAAATGCTCCTCATTTTCTTACACTTATATCATAGAAGTATTTGGTCAGCCACTCATGTAAAATACTAGTAGTTTGTAAGCTAGCAAGGTAGATGTTTTTTCAGAATGTGGCTTCCGAGCATATAACAAGGAAAAACATCTGTTTTGCTAGCTTACAAACCACTATTGCGGTTTTTATGAGCGGCTTACAGTATTTCTAATAAGAGACCCTAGAGAACGTACTTGGACTAAGTACTTCGTCTGCGTAATGAGGTCGGTACTTGCCTTTTTCCAGAAGTAAATTTACTTGTAAGTACTTGTCCTTACTTGCCAAGTACTTTCAAAAAGTACGTCTTAGCAATACGGCAAGTATTTCGATCATTGACAAGTACTTAGCAAGTAATCAAGTGCGTTCTATGTGCGTATAGTACCTGTTGAAATAGAGTGCGCAGTATTCTAGCGAAATTAATGTACAAACTGTTTATACGGGGTGAGAAACAACAGCGTGTACAGTGTACACTTTGAATTTTTAATTTACACTTTGTTTTCTGCAGGCTTTTGTCAGTTTTATGTGGGGTTGATTCATAATAAGTCATTGTATTGTTTGCAGCCATTGTAGTACACTTTGTTTTAAAAAACAGTATGTATCGGTTTCGAAACAGAGTGCAGCAGCACATTCTGATTCCGATTCTCATTAGAGATACCGATAGCTTATCTTTTTCACTATGTATTACCGTTCTTAAAATTTGTGATAATGTAAAAGCGTAGCAGGATCGCTTTGAAAGTTACTGTGGTGCTTTTTTTTGTTGCCACATCAGGAAAAGTATGACATTATGCTGCTTTTACGTAGCAATCACCGTTAGAGGAAAAGACTGTCTGTAGTCTTATTAAACAGTTCTCTTAGACAGTTTACAGAATCTGAGTGTTTCATGAACATCCAAGGTCGAAAAGTTCAGTCAGTTTTAAGTCTGACTTAGGTCGAAAAAAAGTGTGTAAATATTCCATTGACCTATGACAATCTTGAATTAGCTCTTGACCATCCATTAACTTTTTATGATCTTTCTTCAAGTTAGATATCTAATTTACGTTTCACTTAATGCATACTTAAGTGATGATTAAGTATTTTGTGAACGTACTTGGGTCATATCTGAGCTGATCAAGTCCAACTCGGGTATCGAGTTTGTGCTTACCTATCTCAAAATCACATGTAATTAAAGTTTTTCTTGGTAGACTGAAGCGAGATCAGTCATTTAAAATTAAAAATCGTGGATTTCACTTCTTGAGCGTACCGAGAAAATGATCCAAGACTTCGAACTTGGATCATTCGGGGTTTCTCGAAGTTTTGTATATTTCACTGTCAATCACAGGTTTTAACTATATTTTTTTGCGATAAAACCATCATTGTCACGATGGTTATAACAATGATGTATTTTTGTTTTAGATTGTACGGTGTTTTCTCGAATAAATCGATCTTGAATCATTAGTCACCAAAGGGATAACGTTTTCAGAAAAGTTAAATGAAAATTATGTTGGACATATTTATTGAAATTTTGCAAGCTCTGATTAACTGATCCCCTCTAAGAAAGATAATCTGATTAATATTAACGTTGACGATTCTCTCCCCATATCAAAAGTTAAGATCGAAATGTCTTTAGATAAAACTTACAGCATCTAAATCTGTGAGAATAAGTAGTTCATATATATAAACGACTTTTTATTTTATTTATTGTTTCCACTATGAGTGGTTTGACATGCATACTATGTTATAATGATCATACTGAAGATGAATGCGAAGAATTTACCTTATTACCTAAATTACCTGGAATTGAAAAAAAGTTATGCTCATCGACCACTAGTAATTTATCCAAGTATGTCAGCTCGGAGTATTCCTTCTTCCTGATGATACACAGATGTTTTGTGCATATTATTATAGAGTTTTGCTATCATTACCAACTCAAATTCAACTTCGACGATGTGACGATTCAATCTCATTTTATTCAACGGTGAGAATATTTAAGAACACAATCATCGGTCCATATGATGGTCGATTTATACCAGAAGATAAAATAACAACACCACCACGAAATGGATTTTTAATTAAGGTATATATCAAAATTATTATAATCTATAATTAATAATATGATTTTATTTTAGATATTTCGTTCACAAGGCAATTTTGTTTTAGATGCACGTGACGAACGTAAATGCAATTGGTGCACATTAATACCGCCAGCAAAAACTTCACAAGAAATTAATTGTCTGTTATTTCAACGAAAATATAAACTTTATGCAAAAGTGGTGCGTGAAATTAAATCGAACGAATCATTAAATATATGGTATTCGGCAAATTATGCACAAATGATTAGAGCAAAAGAAACACCCGATGGAGATAAATTTAGTAAGAAAAGAAACTATCCATGTATTCTCTAGTTTTCTCTACAACCTGAGTGAACAACGATACAGTAACGGTATTATAAAACAGCAAGACTGCACTAGAAACAATCGTACAATAAACTGATGTACGGACTAGACATACACTAGTATTCATCGTTGTCATTTGGCGCTGTTTAACTAGATCTCTCTTATTACACAAAATGGTCTGTCTTCTAGAACAACTGAATTTTGTAGAGCAAACATTTCTCTATAGAATGAAGTATGATAATGTTTTTCGTGTTTGATTCAGTATTCAAGTAAAAAATATTTACTAAACGTTCCATGAACGGTAAATAGTGGGCATTCTTGGATGAGCAAGCGGACATATATTATAAAACAGTAAAAAAACATTATTTGAGTATGAAAAATACATTTTTATAGATTTTCGACTATGCTCTACCCGACGGTAAACTCGAAATAATTTCATTTCTTAGTTTTTAAGAGATTCTCTAGAAAGTCTAGGATTTTCGCTACTATACGAGCAGTGAACATTCCTTAACCATTTCAAAACGTTAAGAAACATTTTTTTAAAAAAATCTTAAAATTTTCGTTTTTACATGACACGGACAAATATTGTGACGACTTTGCTATATTGCACTATCTCCGTAAACTATCTCGCGCTGGATGGGAGTTTTAGTACTATCAAAAACTGTAATAGAGCCCAAATGTGTCCTTGGCCTAGTGAGTTAACAGCTGCTCAAAAAATCTGAACCATAGGAGGATGATCATTAGAAATCTTATGGACAACGGTACCCTCACTAACAAACAATTACACAGTAACTGGAAAGAACCAAAATCTTTTCTTATCCCTTTCTTCATACTTTATGTAACATCCTATTTCATCCTTTGTCTAGTTTAAGGCCGCGGCGAATGATATTGTTTGAAGGAACCATTGACTATTCAAACAGAAAACTATAGAAAAGTTTTTTTTGTCAAACTGTCTGAATATCACTTTGGTTCGTAATAAAACTATTCCCAGGTCGAGAAAAATAGATTTTACCTGAAAATCCAAGGGTTTCCGAAATATCTGATGTTGGTCCAGGAACAGCTAATTTATGCTATCTGTGTAGATGGAATATATATAGAAGAAAATGTGTACAAAGTTTGTGCAAGTTTGGAGTTTGGAAAAAATTAGAAACCTCATTACAATGATCATAGCCTGAAAACAGATTTCATTTTTCTCCGGAGACTTAGGTTGAGACTGTCTCTTCAAGTTTCTTTCTTATTGACAGTTGAAGAAGTCCAGATTCAGAATATGTATCAGTTTTACTTTTAGTTTTGTTGAATTTGATAAAAAAGAATTTTCTCACATCGATGTGTTTTCAGACTGATTATTGTCTATGTGTTTTCCATGATCCTTAAGACTAGCAACAAAGGTTTTTTTTAATCATTAAATGGCTTGTATTTCGAAGTATATTTCCCCCTTTTTCGATGAAAAGAGTGCACCTTTGTTTTTTCGCCTAATGTTCTTTTGGGTGTTTACTATACAGGTCCAGTTAATACTGATCTATGGTTCTTCGTCGGGAAATGATTTTAAGTAAGAAGAAAAAGACGAAGAGTTATGTTATACCTCATTTTATAGAAAAATATTTGTCTAAAAAATTGAATCATCAAAAAACTTTAATATTTCGTACGTTTCATTGAATCTGATTCAGAAAGAATATACCGGTGAATATTAATAAATACCTAGTACAGAGATATCTCTAACTTTTATATTATTATCACTTTCTAACTTGACACTTCTCATTTTCTTTTAGCGTTATATAGCAAAAATGGGCGCGTTACATTTCGGTGATGATGAGAAAAAATACAAATTTAAATGCCGATCACTTTGCAATTTATTAGGAGTTTCTGGTCAGCAGATATGGAGTTTATTTTTTGAAAAAATAAATCTCTTGACAATGAGTCAGATTTTGTAAATATTTTTTTGTAGTTTCGTCATTTTTTTGTAGCTGTATTACAGCTCTTTCAAATGTTGTTAAATAATTAATAGAAATCAGATCTCAACTTTATTTGCATGATATCTCATTACATTTGAAATCTAGTCCAATAAGCACAAAAAGGCCTCTTGCAATTCATTATCGGATGTTTAGCGTCATCTCGTCTACGATCAACTTTTGCGTGATTTCAACGTGTTTTTTAAAATTCATAGCGTTTGAGTTACGTACCCTACAGAGTTAAGAAACATCTCATTTTGTAATTCAAACATTTCTCTTTAAAATAACAATCAGGTAAAGTGTCAGGCGATGACTTAATTAAGAGATATAATGCTTTAGAAATAACCTACTCTGTTAACCTTTTCATGTCCAACTGTTTATATTTATACTCGCAACAAAAGGCTAATAAATTTGATCGATTGACATGAATCATATATCAGATTAAACCTGATGACATTTCACACAGTGTTGTGTGAAATCTCAGCTGGAAATTAGTCAAATGGTTAACCGTTTAAAAAAAATCCTCAACCCCTCACAGCAAAGAAACAAAACTATCGATATTCTTATTTCATTCCTGATGTGATTCGATTTGATAGATCAGCACACTCCATAATTGAACTTGAAAAACAAGGATACTGTCAGCTTTAAGTGTGCCTGAATGACTAAAAAATCAAATGTGAGAATTATAATATTTATCTCTGTGCAAAGAAAACTCAACATTTCAAAAAGTTTCGGGTAAAAATCCTTAAATAATTGAATATTTGATCTCTTTTTATTTCATCAAGTGATCTATGTGCATTTTTGGCGGAACGCATTGCATAACAATATAGGAATTCGCTAAAATTTGAAAGTTCAGCAATAAATTCAATATTTATTGAGACATTTAGAAATAAGGAAAAGACATTTCATGCCAATTCCGGTTTCGTATGGGACACGAAGGGTTAAAAAGTGACCGTTTTTTGTTTAATTTTGACCGCTCGTTTAAAGAGGGCGGTTTCCCCCCATTTAGATTTTCCTCTAACGTTCCCAGTTTCTAGAGGATACATTGAAGTATATGTCCTGAAGTTTTTTTGGCTTACTAACATTATTTTGGCTGAGAAAAAAATTAATTACTTAAAAATATATTGTTAAATTTTTGAATAAGGGACTATTATTAAAAAAATTCCTGTTCATTCTTCATTCATCATAAAAACTTGGTCCTTGTCTAGATAGATAGAGAAATGTGTGGAGAATATTTACTACGAGAAAATATGTCAAAATTTTTGTCTTTTTCTTCCTGTTATTGACTAATTAGTTCTATATCTAAGCATGAGATTAGAATAGTTCTATTCAAATTTTTTAGCAGCTTTTAGGAGGTCAGAACGAAAAAACTTTTGGAGCACTCTATGTATTTTTTTTCATCTTATAATAGATATTTGTACCGATTTTTCTTTCTTCGTGTAGATAATAAGTAGTACTTGACTAGTTAGAGAAAAATTATGATATTTCAATTTTTTCTCGGATAGATAATCATATTCTTTTTAATTTTTCCAATGAAAAACGTTAAAAAAGAAACAATTTAAGCTGTTTGGTTCGATATCAAAAATCGTTTTCCTACGTTCCAAAGTCTGACTTTGTAAATTTTAATACAAAAAAACGTATGCAAGTCATAAAAACGTACTATATCATTCAACATGTATACTGTTGGACATGTTTATTTTTGAAAAATCTGGTTGTTGTTTATTCGGTTTCTGCTTTGATAAATTTTCTTCTACTCTACCCCAATATGCACTTTGAAGAGTACGATTTGGTTTTCGATATCGCTAAAACAATACAAAATAGAGAGTAGAAATAAAGTTTGATCAGTGCAGTATAATAAAAAAAAAATCATACCGTATAAGCAGCATACGGTGTCGGAAAACATAATTGTGGTAAAATTAATTTCGCATCCCATTGAGGTCTTGCTGTCATAACACGAGACATTTGAATATAAGAATTTTCATCGTTTCGTAATTGTTTATCAGACTGATGTCTCCATACTTAAATAAAATATAAAGAAAAAAAATAAACAGACAGATTTTTTTACGTTTTTGGATGTCACATATACATACACGTTTGTAAATTTGATGATAAAAATTTAATTTTAAATGGATCACGATCATAATTTGTTTCAAATTCAGGTAATCCTAACTCTTCAATTTTTGGATACTATAAACAACTTTTTATTAATGAATTTTATATTATAGCTATCAAACTTACTCCTCTATAATCATGTAGTTTTAGATCTTTAAATTTTCCTATATTTGTGATATTTTCAATTGGTTCATATTCTATATTACGATTCGTTATAAATTCATTGTTTTTTTCGGTATTTGATAATTGCATAGAATCACGTGAGAAATATTTCATTACTATTGAATCATCTCTGCTTTTTCTACCATCTTTGTCTATTAATGTTTGATGTTGCTGCTGCAGCTGCTGTGCTAATTCATGTTTTCGATGAGGTTTAGGATGAAAATTTTTTATAGAAAAATCTATTGGTTTTAATTTCCACGGATCATTTTCTGTAATATTATTCGATTTTTTAACTATTGAACTTCTTGCATAATTTCGTTTATTTTCAGCTTCTAAACGTTGTTGATCATTAAAACAAAAGGTAATCTTATTTGATTGATCAATATTTTCTGATTCCATTCTGTATCAGATTAGAATTTCTCTTGTTTCACCGGCAATAACATACTGACATTTGACAACAATTTCCTGTTTAAACACGTTTAACATGGTGACACTCTATAATGACATATCGAAATGTAATGGATATGTTATATAAACGTTTTTTTATTATTTTTTTATTAAAATAATTGAAAAAAAAGCTTTTTTTGTTTCAGTTAAACAAACAAAATGAAAAGAAAACATTTTTTTGCACTGAAATAAAACGTTTTTTTGCAAAACTATTTTATTAGGTTAAGAATGGAGCATTGTCAGAATCCAAAAGTACATCACATCATTGTAAGGATTGATAGAGGAATTAAAAATTTCAAACAAAGGTATGCTTTCTCTGCGCTTACGCGAACAAATCTAAAAGCAAAACTCTTACTTGACCGAAACGTCCAAACAAATAATCTACTCTATACACTGTTATATTATGCAGTACTACTAAAAATATCCAAAAGCCCATCACTAATATCCTGAAAAGATTGTATGGGATATGATTTCTCGTAGGTCAAACAATGTGAATTAACTTTCGTGCTGTTATCATAATTACAAATTCTATACTTACCGGAAAATTCGACCATTTTTATAATACTAATTAGAAAGTACATACAAAATTGTATATTTCCTCTCAAACTCAGTTTTGATCACTAACGTTTGGAAGAAAGTGTTTTTGTTGATTTTTGAAAAAATCATGTATTTTCTGAAGTGTATAAAAAAATAAAGTTTAATCAAATATAACTCAATTTATGATCAAATGAATGCGTTTTCCAGGCTTGTTCGAATGATCCAAGAAGCAGATCTTCACAGCTTCTGTTTCTTCACAGTACTCTCTAAAAAAAAGGGTACAGACAGAACCTTTTAAGGGTTCTTTCTATGGGTCTTCCATCAAACACTCGAAAAGGTTCGGTACGGAACCTCCATATTTCTCCGACAAATAGATTCCGTCTGACAAATAATGTTCGGTATTAAGTATTTATAAATATATACAGTACATCTGACAGAGTGCACACGTTAAGCCGTCAGCTATTTGCTTTACACCGTGACCAGCTAACTCTGTTACCGTAAAGGAATTTCGTAACGTTTTTTCATCATTTTGTTTTGTTTATAAATCGTAAACCAAACGATGCCAACAGCTAAAATACATCTTAAATTGAAAAAAGAACTGCTATGAACATTTTAAAACGCGTCTCAGCTCTGTAACATGTGTCTTTTTAAAAATCTAATAGAAATATTGGCAACCACTGTTCGCACAATTAAGCTTTGCGGAATCGAACAAAGTAGTTGCCATTATTTCTATCAGATCTTTAAAACGAGACACGTTAAAGAGCTGAGACGCGTTTTAAATGTTCGTAGCAGTTTTTTCGTCAATTTAAGATATGTTGCAGCTGTCTGCATCGTTTAGTTCACGATTGATAAACAAAACAAAATGATGAAAAAACGTTACGAAATTTCTTTACGGTAGCAGAGTTAGCTGGCCGCGCCGTTTAGCTGCTCACAACAGGTAAGGTTAATGTGCAACGTTGGAAACAGAACAGATAATATTTTACACAAGAGTCCGGAAAGAGTTGAATTTTTGATAAAATGATAAGCACGTCAGAATAAGCTATCTATTGTCTTTTTAGTACAGGATGGCGAATTAATTAAAATATGAAAATATTAGTTCATGGTTTCATGTACCATGTGCGTTACGAAGGACTTATGATAGACAAGTCCTCATCGGATAAAATCAGAAACCCTCATTAGTTTGTCTATGTAATAGTCCTTTTAATCAATTGATATGTGAAATAAATGCAGCACTGTACATTGAGGGCCGAAAAAAGCCTGGACTTTTTTATTTTTACACATAAACGAATAGCAAGGATATTCTAAAAATTTTCTCTTATATCTATTTTTGTAGAGCTTTCTTCGCTGATCATTTTGGTAAAAAACTTTTTGATTTTCATTGAGTAATGACGATGTTATAGTCAAAATACTAAACACTGTAGTAAAATGTAGGGGAAAAGTAGAGCACATTTTTAGTGTTTGGCTAATTTTTATGTTATTTCACAACATCTGAAAGTTGTTCTATAT